CCTTGTTAAGCGCTGCATCAAGAAGGCCCCAGTTGGGGTAGTGCCGCATCAAGGAAGCTCGGGACAGAGTCAGGCATGGCGGTTGGCAGTGGCATAGCTGCCTGATGTTGACCTTGGGACAGGAGGGCAGCGACATAGCTGCTTTGGGTTGTCCTTTGGACAGGAGGGTAGAGCCCTCAGTGCTCCGCCATAGGCTCGGCCTACATGAAGAGGAAGAGGAAGGGTGGCCATGGCTATGGTGGACCTCATGTTGTGCCTGCAGTAGAAGTGGGATTCGGACATTGATTCTGATTCAGCCATTCAACATTATTATTGTTATTTCTTGTTTGAATAAGAGGGGAGGAGATAAGGAGGAGGAGATTGGTTGGCGAAGAAGAAGAGCATTATCTTTGGTCTATGCTGGAGTACATCATCTTCTTCTTCTTTCTTACTTCTTCCTCTTCTTCTTTCCCTCTCTCTCCTCTCAAGTTCATTCATTTCTTTTTGCAATTGGACGGCATTGTACTTTCTGATGAATGTATACTTCAAAATTGGCCAGGATCATAACAGGAAAATAAAAATGAAATAAAACAGGGAAACAAAAAAAAGCTCGCAGGTAGCCCCGTCTGCTACCACTATTCATTCGGACCGGGCCTAGTCACACTAGCACTTTCCAAAATCAATCTACTTGCAGTCACCACCTCGATCTCACGCAATGGCGGTAAACTCCGGTCTGTATAGGAAAGTTGAAGATATAGTCCATACCATGGATAAATTCATGGAGAAGGCATCACATGAGAAGGCATCACATGTTCACTGTAGGTCTAGACGTAGATTCTTCGGAGTCGGGGGGAGCTGTAAAGTTGTCTCTTGCCACTGGGCTATTTGCTGGGAACCCCTATGAATCTTGGTCCTCCGAATTCTCACACTGAGGAACAATCCAAGATTCGGGGCAATCAGCACGAAACCAAAGTTGTAATTCAATTGTCATGTTCGACAGTTCATGGGTGTACCAACTGAGACAGGCTCGTTGGTTCTTGCCGGTTCCATGACTGGTAGCTGTTACATTCTGCGACTTCACACGGGCCTTCACAGGCCCGACATACCGGTTCGGGGGGGTACCCAGACCAGCCTCGCCAAAAGCCAGGCCTTTCCCCCGGTAGGCCCTGTTAGGCCACCGCCTCAGCGCCTAGCAGACCAGGTCTGGCCCAAACGACATGACCGTTTGGGCCTGGCGGCGCTCTTGAGGCTGCCGCCCGCCGGTCTGAGCTGAACGGTCATTTCGACGGTTCAGCCCACGGCGCAGGAGGCCAGCATCGAGGCCAACCGGCCGCCGGAAAGTACTTAGGCCGGTCCAGCGGCCATTCTCACAGGTTGGGAACAGCAGCAGCAGCCAGCGTTAGCGCTGCGCTATTTCGGTTTCAGCACAGCGCTAAGGGCTGCAGCGCTAAGCTTAGCGCACTGCCGCCTAGGAGGAGCGAGGAGGAGCGAGGAGGAGTGAGGAGGACTTACCTGGCAGACAGCGAGGCGCCATAGCTCCAGCGACTTGTAGTAGGCCTCCCGCCACAGCCAAGGCGCCATGTTACATACTTCAATGAGTATGGGCAGAACCAAAGATCAACCAATGTAGGATGAGCATATATGCAGCGGAAGTCTGATAAACGGACTGACTCACATAGACTGACTCATAGAATCACTCCACACATACAATCGTGAGATGGTGGGGTCCGGGCCAAGCATGGACGATGCCCAGATCCCGTACACACATACACAGATGAAAGGTGGGAGGAGAGACGAAGGAGGTGGGAGAGGTAGACAGCACCGGTAGGTCACCGAGATAGAATCCGATAGGTCACCGATATGGTAGTCCAAAATGTCATCCAACAAGATCAAAATGTCGAGGACAATCAGTCACCAATGTCGGAGATACAGAGTCCAAATGTAACCGGTGTCCGAACTGTGATGCTGCCAAGTATCAACCCCAACAATCTCCAAGTCTCCAATCCAGTAAGTACCACAGCCTCTTACCACCGAAGTCCAACTCTGATCTCTGTCCAACTAGTATAAGTCTCCAATCCGAAGAAGAAGAAGAAGAAGAAGAAGAAGAAGAAGAAGAAGAAGAAGAAGAAGAAGAAGGATACGAAGAAGAAGAGAAAGAAGTCTGAAGAGAAGAAGAGAGAGTCGAGGAGGAGAGAGAGAGAGAGGGGACTGACGATGGGAGGGAGGAGAGAACCTCCGGCTCCCTGATACCTCAGGCGGCGATGGCCGCCGATCTGGGTCAGTCGCCCTGCTGCTGCTCCACTCGCCGCTGCTGCGCTAATGCTGCGCTACTGCTGCCTGCTCCTTGCTCCTGCGCTAAGAATAGCGCCAGCACTAATGTGCGCTGTACCATACCGTACCGGTAGAATGCCGGTAGGTCGATGCCTTCGAAGTGAGGCCGGACCAGTACTAAGTACTGGTTCGAAGAGGACCGGCCTCAATGCTGCGAGGCCTTGGTTGGGGCTGAACCGTCCAGATCGAC